AGGAACAAACTAATTTTTTGAGGTACTTTTAAAGTGGAAGTTAACCAGACCTTGGTGTCTACTTTTAAGGGCAGTTTTGGTTCCTACACTTCACTTCCACTGGGATAGTCCATGGACCACGGACTGCTCTCCTAGAAGGTGGGTCTGGGAACCTTCATAAACAAGTGGCAGACCACAGAACTTAGAATTTCAACAAAATATCATTAATACAATTTAGAACTTCTGAAATTTTCTGTTATACTACTTTAATTTGATGTTTTTAGATCAAATCATATATGCACTAAGTAAAAGCAATTTATTTTATAAAGTATATAAATTTGAGTATTGAAGAGTAAGAATCTACATAGAATTTTATTCTGGCATGTATTGACAAAAGGTATCGACACTTGTTATATCCTAGGAAGCAGCAATTAGGGGAAAATATTTACGACATTGCTCTAGCTACATAATTGGTATTAAAATAGCAACAATTTTTAAATTTTGCTTATGGAATGTTATGTGAAATTTTTGTGCAAGGATATGTTTCTCACCAAAGTATCCATTTCAAATTATTATTAAAAATTATTTTAATTTATATATTATATGCATATATGATGCCAAAAATATTTTTTCTTAACTTTGGTCATCTAATCAAGTATGTGAAGAAAACTCATTTTGTTTATTTAGTATCCATTCTAACATTCTCTCTCTCTTTATTACTATTATTTTTTAAAATTTGGCCTCCTTTAAACTGTTCAAGGAAGATGCATGAAGAAACCAATTATTTTTTCTTTGATTTTTTATTTTTATTATTATTATTATTTTTGGTTAAATAAAATGAATCATAGACATCAATTTTTGTGTTTTATAACTGAATACTTAACCAACTTTTCAGTGGTCCATTCACCTTCCATAGTAGTTAAGAACTTAGGTTGCCAAGTACTCAAGTTCGATAAATTCTTTCCTTGGATGAAGATTGTTTTTACGTATTCCTAACTAAAATAATGCTTATTGCAGTGGTAATTTATTAAAAGCTTAATTGATAGTTTATTTTCTCTATGTGTTGTAATATGGTGGTAAATATTCTGTTCTAATGGAATCAAATGACAAGATTGTAATCAGGATTTTAAAATTTGCTAAATGTTAAATCTAAAGGTAAACCACTTATTTAATTTCCTGTCCTATAAAGTTGGGATAATAAAATTGCCCTATGTAACATGAAGAAGCTCAGATGATAGCACAAAAATATATTGAACATAATAAAAAGATATAAAAAAATTAATATTACTATCATCAGCCAATAACTTTGGTACAATGTAATAATGCTTCCGTACTTCTGTTAATGTTCATTTGATTTAATATTATATTAAATTATAATATAATACAATACATAATAGTATATTATATATATATTACATATTATATGTAATAGAATATATTAGGAAGAGTTTCTGTTCTAAGCTTTGCTATGTACTGATATAAATCACATAAATTTATAAAAACATATGAATATTTCCTTTAAATAAATTCACTAATATTACTTGTCCATAATGAATGTTGAGCCACCTGGTAAGACATAATTTTTATAAACTCTGTCTAATGACAAAGAGGAGTTTAGAAAAAGGCCAGTATAGAAACAATTGCATTTTATATCTTAACCTTCACTGAAGGAAAGAGGATATGCTTTTTTTTTTTAATAATAAGGAATTTTTGTAATTTGGGGTATTGTTTGCTTTTTAAATTCTGGAGAATTCAGGAAGTCTAAAGGACAAACCTTAATAATGGCATGTTTCTAAAAATAATAACTAGACAATTGTTTTGGTCAAAATATAAGATTTCTGGGATAAGTATTTACTTATGCTTTTCAGTGAATATATTTTATAAATGTAAGAGTTCATAGACTCATTGAAAGTACACTTCTCCATTTGTATACCAGATTTGTTTTTTCTGATGCTGTATAATATTAATCAGGTAATTATTTAACTTGATTTCAAGACTAAATAAAATGTAAATGGTTTCAACATACATGATATTAGGGCCAAAAGTCATGCAAAGAAGAAAATGAGCAATGATTCTGCAGTTGGTAGATGACAACAATGTAAATTTGATATGTAGTTGTACCATTATAAATCAGTATCTCAGTGTTTATTGAATCATATGAAGAGACCTGGACAAACTAATTACCTCATGTTTATCAGCTATTTAAAACACTGTATGAATAAAAGAAAATATTTGAGGAATAATAAAATTGTCACTCTTTTTGAAATTTGAGAATGCCAACTCCCTGAACATTGTGATGTATTTTTAAAAAAGTTCCTAATATGGAAAAGCTTTTGATTATAGACACAAACTATGTCTAAAAAAGATTAAGCTTTTCTGGAATTAGTTATCAACCAAACAAACAAAACTTTAAGAACTAGGCTACACAAATGATATGGATTTACAAAACATTTACTTGAAGTCTAATTCTTCAGTGAGATTTACAGAGAGGAGATGGAAGTTTAAACTTCAAAATTACCCAAATTGTGGTGACTTGAACACATTTATGAAAACTTTTGCTAAGGTACTATATAAATAAACATTGTATCAACAAGTAAAATATTTAGATTAAAAGACATAAAATACATTCTTTAGTTATATGAGAAAAATGGTGGTGTGGAGCTGATAAATTCAAGATGAAAGCTAGGCCTCCTTTTCTTTTCTTTTTTTTTTTTAACTTTTTCTACTTTTGTTTGGAAAAAAAGGAGCCTTTTCCTGTCCACTGTGTGTGCTAACTCACCTGCAGCATTGTTTAGCCATGAATTACTCCATTACGCCTTTGAACAAATACAGACTTCACATTTTAATGCTACCTTTGCTGAAGTTGTGTTGTGAGCCATTTTGCTAATTAGCAAGGCAATGTTGGAACTCCTGGACAATGATGGAACTTCTAACACTAGAAGAGTGAAATAATGCTTTAGGTAGGTGAAAAATAACAGGACCTTTCATTTGAACTGAGTTAGTGCATAGAGGAATCAATCTGATGAAGCCAGCTTCTCCCAGACATTCATCTGTGGAAGTCTGAATTCCGGCTGAAGCAGAGTGGCTTAAACTAGAGAAGAAATTATAGAATACACATTAGTTTGAAGATGGTTGTGGGAACACTGCCCAATGCTATGACTCTAGTTGAGTAAAAATAATGCGGTCAACATTGGGAAGGAAGGTAAGGAGAGCAGGAGGGTTGTGGAAGGTGGGGGGATGTAGGAGACAGAGCGTCTGACACATGATACTGTATGCAAGGGATGAGAATGTGGGGTACAAATAATAGAGGGCAAGTAATCAAAATCCAGGAAAAAGAAATGCACCGTTTTGACTCATAGTAGTGGAACATCCTACTTTTCTTTACAAACTCTGTACTTTATCCATTTGGAATACCTGTTCCCAGAAAGAAAGCATTTTTCACACCTCTCCTCCTTTCTCCTTATTTCCTTTGAACAGATTGCCCTTCTCTTTCTTGATTTAGGCAAATCCAACTGTTATTTCAGTTCACAGCTTACATGTTACTTCTCTGAAGCACTCTCCATGAACTCTCTCCTCAAATTAATTCCTCCCTCCTCTTTGATACCACACAACTTTTATTGTGAGCTCACATTTGGCACTTATCGCATTGTAACCTGGTTCTTTTCAACAGAGATTTATTGAGCTCCTTTTCTGTGCCAGGCAATACACTAAGCACTGGGGACAGAGATAAATTAGATTCAAACCCTGCCGTCAAGGAGCTCACAGTCTAGAAAGGGAGATGGGATGTAAACAAATTACATCAATGTTGTAAGTGTGGCAATAAAAACACATATGAGGCATGGATTTAGCACGGAGAAGGCAGTTAATGTGATCTAGACCGGAAAGGATCAGGAAAAATTTGTCAGATAAGATGATGGCAAGTCATGTCACTGCCTATTTCCTTTATTTCATTTTAAGTTCTCTGAGGACAGGGGTTATGTCTCATTTCACCAGCTAACAGTGCCCAGTACATGGTAGATAGTCAAGATCTATCAGTGGAATTTACTTCAGCAGGTAAGAAATTGGTTTCAAAGGGCAATATGTCTAGAAGAACAATATCTATATTCAAAATCATCTTTTTTTGGGGGGGGGGGTTCAGTTTGGAACCTTTGCCTCCGCCTGTGTGTGCCTGCATGTTTTAAATGAAAAACCAAGCTGTTTTGCTTGGTTAGGCTGATTGTGAAAATGGCCTGGCTGTATGAGTTGCCATTTCTGATACCTCATTCCCTCTTTAATTTAGAGGTCTTCTTAATCTATTAATTTAAAAATGTATGTTTCATTAATTAACTAGTATAAGGAAATTGTTAAAAATCAAATAAACTAATAGGCTTTTGCAGACTTTTTGAAAAATAATGTTTTCTTCTTTATGGAAATGTGTATTTTGCAAACATCAACACTGATTTTAAATAATTATTACAGACAAAATTAAAATAAAAAGCATGCATGTCTTTGGCATTAGGTCAGTTTATATCTCATACGCTATTATCCAATAAGGTGATGTTGAATCCAATTTGTTTAGTGTGTCTTTGAAACCATTAAACCTGATAGAGTTACATTAAATTGAACGCAAATTGTGTTTAATAAATGAATCTGTAAAACCAAGATTTCAAAATGTTACACTAATGGCTCCATATTAATAAAATGCTTGCTTGTGACCTTCAGGATAGGCAATTTTGATAACAATTATCTGGCATCTTTGTAGATTCTGAATGAGACCAAACTGATTATGATAACGACACATTATAGAGTTTCATCCCCATATTTCCTTTTTAGGTATGACATAAGAAAGAACAATATTTAATTTAAAGGGCATAAAAATTCACATCATCACCATAAACACAGAATTCGGTTTGCAGATGACTACAATGAAGAAATATGTTAGCTAATTATGTAGCAACCTGACTCTGGTTCTTAAAATTTTCTAAGCTTATGTTCCTTAACACCATATGTTACAGGGAACAGTAAAGACATCTGAATTCAAATATTTTGAAGAAATGTGTATTTAGCAACTGAATACATGCTAAAAGGAATAATTTACAGCAGCAGTTTCATTACATTTTTCTCTCCAGTTTTCTAGTTCCCATCTGAAATGAACTGATAAATACAGATATGGGATATATTTACTACCTGGCAAAAAACATGCGTATTGAGTGGGCACACACCTTCTGCCCTTAAATAGTACATAACCACCTTGTCACCTGTGTGGGAGAATCTTGCATTTTAGGATGATGTTGATCACATTGAAATGGAGTATCTATAGAAAGTTGTATTTTACACTGTTCTTTCTCTTTTTTTTTTTTCAAAATTATTTACATGTCTTTTGCCTAATGTGTAGGTAGCAAAAAATATTAAACACATACCATTGAAAAACCACTAAATAATACATAAAAAGAAGCATTAAGTGTGCATTTACATGCTTTTACATTTTACATTTGATTTCAATTGGGCCATGATTTATTTTCTGTGATGAGTCTATTCCATACCTTAAGACTGATGTTATAATTTGCTTTAAGTCACATGAGTCGCAAACAAAGTTTCAACTCTGAAAATACATGCATATGCCAAAATCTATTAAAAGTGAATTATTAAAAGGGATATTTTTCGTGCAAACTGTCCCCTTTCAATACAACTTGGCAGAAGATTATGACTGTAGTAAGTTATTTATCTGCAAGTGATATCTATGATTTTCTTCAAATACTTAGACTTGATGGTTTATAAAGACATGCCAGTAGATTTGTTTGTCTTTGTTACTTTTAATTAAAGTCCAGACTTTCTTTTCCACTGGTATTTTATAATGCTAAGCAAAAAAATTAATTCAGATTTTGGAAGGCATCCATGAAGTTATCATACAATCCCTATCCCTTTAAATCTTTTATTTTTAAGGACTAATAAGAAATAAGATACTTCTGTTATTGTGAATAAATTTGTTTCGGCTGCAAATTTGGAATAAAATGCAACACTGAATTTTAATACATTTAAGATACTCTATGAAAATATAAGAATGACCTATTTTTGGAGAACTCTTTGTTCTTTGACTTATATTTCAAGCACTATTTTCCATACAGGAGTGTGCCCTTCGTATAACTTAGCAATTCAGCTACCATTTGAGGATGATTTCCAAAAGCAACATCATATTAGTCAATGGAGCCTAAAATTGAATGTTGATTATTTTTAGGCTTTTATTTGAAACAAGCATCAGCAAATTGTTTATTCAAAGTAATCATTAAAACTGAAACATGAGCTTCCATCTGTGAAATATTTCAGCTGATAGGGTATAAAAATTCACTATAGTCTGAGGTGAGAAATGAATGCTGAGCTAATTAGAATCCCAAGACAGCTATGGTTAGAATTTCAATGTCTTTCCATTAGTTAGCAATAAGATCTTTCCTTTGCATTTTTGTACACGATGAAGGACATAAGGAGGGATTCCTGAAAAGGTGAGTGCAGTGCAAAAGCAACCTTATTATAATGCTGAAAGTTTTACTTTCTAGAAGCCAGTGGTTTTCCAGAAATCATCTCACGAAAATGAAGGAGGAAAATCCTTAAGTAACAATATTTTACCTTATTTTGTAAGTTGTTGCAAGAAACAAAAGTTGTACATTTTTTTGAAGCGTGGGATGTGAACTGAAAAATAGTTTGTATAAAAGCCATGCCTGTTGACAGGAAAATAATCATGTGTTCCTTATACAGATAATTATCTTAAGATGAAATAAGAGGCAGCTAATGCCAATGTACATGGTTGGGAAATTTGCCTTTAAAGTGTTGCTCTGAATACCATTGATATCATCAATCTCTCCCTTTTTAGAAAAATTGTGATAGATATAATTCCTAGTGGAATCATGAGAGAGTTTTTAAGTCTCAAATATCATGCAGGGATTCAAGCACAGAATTAATAGACATTTTCTATAAACACTATATCAAGACAATGCTTATTACTTTCATGAGATATGCAGTTCCTTTTCTCTTCATTGATCCATTAGATATAATAAAATGCATGTAATTGTATCTTCCCTTTTTTGCTGTTTAAATGCTCTGTTTTGCTAAAAACATTATGAAGGTTAAAATTAACTTACATAATACTTAAAGAAGGGGAGGTGTGAACAGCTTCCATTTTTCGATTTCTTCAGAGAAATAAAGCACAATTCATACCCTGGTTTTAGAAATTAACTGTTAATGGTGTGTATATGTTTCTAGAACAATATCAGCTATCTGTCTTATGGAACCCAAAACAAAATGTCAAAAAATAAAATAAAATAAAAAATAAGCAGCACACAATTGGAACTGTTAAAACACAAACTATATAGCACAGTAATTGTAAGACAAAAACCTACTCTAGCTTAGAAAACAGCTAATTTTTACTGCATATTTGTCATGGTACATTTAAATTATAGTTTTAATAAAATACATCTTTAGGTCAAAGCTGAAAGAAGACATCAGTAGTAGATCAGTGTATTCCATTTTTTTCTTCTGGATGATGGATGGTTTATGTTTTTTCTATTTCCATAGACCATTTTGTTCAGTACCATTGTACTCCTCCAGTACATACAAACACGATTGTTGGTAGACAAAAAAATATCCTGGAATCCAATCACGTTGGAATATTCATCAGCTTAGTAAATCCATGCAGTTAATTTTAAACTTTTAGTTCAATAAAATGGCTTTGCTGATGCAGTTTCTCTCCTTTTGATGTCAATATGGCAAATGACATTTTTATTTCTCAGGCAAAGAAGAAAGTGAAACCTGTACAATGAAATCTCATAGGATACATTAAGTCTGCTAAAGTGAACATCTGTGTTCAACTGTGATCTCTATTAGGTGTTGGTATTAGGAAGAAAGCCTGTTAGGAAAGTTACTCATGGACTTAATTTATAACTTGTGGAACTCAGTTGAATTTCCCACCATTGTAAACATCCACATAATGCCATGAAAAAAGTTCATGTATATTGCATTATTTCCAGTTATTGTCTAGGCAAGTTTCTGCTTGTTTGAGGTTTCTAGAGGTAATGCAGCTCAGACACTCCTGGGTGCCCTCTCAAATTCGTGGGTCCTCCTGTTTCTACCTTTCTTATTTTCCTGTAAGTGCTTCCATTTGTTAGTGTTCCCTTGGGTGTGTCCTGGCCTTTGTCGACGTTGTTTTCGGTCCCTTTTCCAAACTTGTTCACAGAACTCATCCATTGTGTTCAGGTTGGGGTGGTTAATGAGCTGCATGAAGTCTCTGTACCAGACCTTCTGGCTAGGTGTCATGCTATTGGACAACTCTTTGGTCTTAGAGCCATCTCCATCATCATCTTTATGAAGAAGTTCCTCCAAATGCTCTGTGTCAATAACTTCCAGGGTTACTTTAAGAAGAGTTTGCATGAATCCGTGTTCCACGGCATGACAGAGGTAGTTGCCCGAATCCTTCCGCTGTAAACTACGCAGCAGAAGTCCTTGTTCTGTCCTGATGATATGATCGTCCACTCTGATCTAGCAGGAAAAACAAGTAGCATAACATATAAATATTTACAAGAAATGTAAGGTGTGAAATTCTGTGTCAGTAAAAATTTAGATTATGCACTGAGGCACATTTTAACAGCTAATAAAATTTCTAATTCAGGAGAAATGGAAGCATTTTCTCATCAGGGAAAACAGGTATAATATCTGTCAATTGTTTTTGAGATACATTGGAAAATAGTGGTTGTACTACTGTTTTAATAGAATTTCTTATTATAATAATTTAAAACATTCAAGATAACTGAAGGGAAGAACAAAGATACACTTTATTTTGTATATTTGAAAGTACATATATAAATATAGAAGAAAGTTAACATTAAATATTCAAATTGAAACTACAGAAACATGATAGTGGAAAACAAGGAGGCATTAAGAATGAACTCATAATACGATTTGAAAAAATAAAATACAAGAAAGAAAGCAGCAGTTGAGAGACAAAGTAAAACATGAGATTTTGTGCGTAATTATTTATTAAATTTACTAGACGTGAAGTGACATAAATATGAGGATATGCTCTTGAATATACGTAACCTCATTTTTATTTTGGATAAAGTTTACAATAGAGATCTTGAAAAGCCTAACTTGATAATGTATAAAATCAATCTTGACATTTTTACAATGTAGTTATATAGTATGAAAACTGCTTAAAATAATGTTTAAAAAAAGATAATGGGAGATTTTTGCCTTTATATGCATATTATGCTTACAAAATTGTCTGCTTATAATATATTTTACAAATCAACTACATAAGCTGGTTAACCTTATTTAAAGCTTTAAAAAAGCTTTAAAGGCTTGGAGTACACACTGAGTTTTTTGTATACAATTCTTTACTTTTGCAGAAGAATTAGTGGATCCACTGAGGAGGAAGATCTGCCCAATGCTACATCAATAATTTATATCAGAGGTGATACTAGGATCTCAGAACCTTCATCCGAAATCTACTACTCCCTTCTCCCAACCTCTCCTCCCCATTTGAGGAAGCTAATGGAGAAAGGAAAACACATTTGGATAACAGAACTAATTGTACAAAAGGTAAGAAGATTTGATTTTGTGTGTGCACAAATATAGATAACATAATTGATTTGTAGATAAAACAGTAGGAAATAAGGAAACTCCAAAATGCTATATGTCCCCAAACTGATTCTGGGACAGAAACTCTTGCCAGGCTTCCTTTGTTTCTCCAACTCCTAGCAACAAGCCTGTCACATAAGCAGCCTTCAATAAATACTTGCTTAATCAATGAGCTCTTGATGGGTTAAGAAAAAGACAAGGGTTTAAACCATTTTTTTTCTTTCCCTCAAGCCAGCAATGCTGAGATCATTTAACAGTATATGTTAGACAGAAATAACCTAGTCCATTTCATTTGTGTACCTCTTCTTTTCGCTCTTCATTTCGCCTCTGGAATTGCCAATAGACCAGTGCTCGCTGTGACTTAGGACTGCATTCCAGGAATGTGCTACTATTTTCTACTCCATAGATGATTCTCTCCTCAAGGCTGTGGCCATGGTGATTATCTGGCGGGTGGTGAGGATATAAAATGAGAAAATGTTAGAGAAGTAATCTTGACTTTTTAAGTATTTATCTGAAAACGCAGGAGATCAGTTGTCACCAAGTTAGAAGTTTTCTTCAAATTGATTGAGGATGGCAGAAATATCAGGGATGTAAGGTTTCAGAACACAAATGCCTACCTAAGTAGTTTCATTCATTTTTGGTATGTGTTAAATAAAGCATATACAGAGATCTGTCTACCAGGAAACAGCATTACATTAATAAAATCAGTGTGCTGTATAACTAAACATCTTTATATGCCACAAGAAGACTCTAAAAGAAATTATTTTCACTGCTAAACTCTATGCTCTGACTAATGAGGCCAGTTTTGTATTTTATACTTCTCTAGCAGAAAAGTTATTGGACTGGGCTTTTGAAAATAGGGATTGGTTTCTGAGAAAGTATTTTGCCTCTTGGTATTTGTTTTGTATCTGTAAAATTAAATTCACCAACCAATAATATTTATCTAGCATGTTACAGAAGGTAAAGTTCAGAAAGTTTATACTTCCCATCAAAAACCCCTAAATAATCCATAAATTTGTTCTGAATATCAACTGGGGTGAAATGTTTGGGATGCTCAGAAGAAAGATGCATAATTATAATGCAATGTGGTTTCAATTGTCCTTATTTTAAGATGACACATCTTTTATTATTTTCAAGAATTAGGCTATGTAATATGGCAAGAATATTTGATAAAATGCAGCTATAAGAAAACCTGTTTCCTGATTAGGTTTCTATTATTTTACCCTTTATGTAACCTCTTTCAATGTGGCAAAAGAAACACAGTTCAGATCAAAAGTAGGACACAGGGAGTCTAGGTAAAACTCATTTAGAGAACAAAAAATCCTTATTATCTTTTATAATCCTGTTTTCATTATGACATCCTGTACAATCTGGAACTCATTAAATTAATTTAGAAAATAATAAAATATATTTTCACGTGCATAGAAAGCTGACTGTGTAGACAGAGGAAACATTTTTGCTCTCCACTTCAAACTCAGCTAGATTTTTAATTTAAAAAAAATGTTTCCCCCCCTTTTTTGGCATCACTTTGACAGTTTTACTCTTGTAATAATCAACTGAGTACTTTCGTCTGTCATAACCAATATGATTTGCTCTCACTAGGTTTAAAGCTTTCCAAAACATTGCTCCCATCCAATCCCTTGTGCATGGCCTATGTCCATCTTCTCCCACCCTTATCCTGCTACAGTAGAACTTCTGGTATCCATATGGTATCCACATCCATATGCAATCTCCAGGGATGTCACCCTCAGTACCTGTTTCTCAACTGCCTTAGGTGTAAAACAAAACTCTTCTAATGTCAGGAAGTATCTCTTCTCTCATATTGAAAAAAACAATCCCTTGGAAATAGGAAAAAATAAGAAATGACAGAAATGTAAAGAAAAACAATAGTTAACTGATGCCAAGTCATTTATTTCATATTGAAGATGTATATCTATGTGTATCGATATCTACATTGAATATGCTATTTTCCTCTGAAATTATTAGTGCATCTTGAATTGAATAAATATGGAACGTGTTGCTGTGCTAGTCTGCAAGACATCTGCTTCAATAAATAGAGGTGAATTGAATTGCTATACTCAACAGGGGCTGAAAATCTCCTGTGGTTCAAGAACTACCATGAATAATTACAATGGCTTGTCACAAAAGTCAATACGATTTATTTGAATACTTGTTTGTTTATTTATTTATTTTTGCTAATTGTTCTGCAGTTTAAACTTGGAGGGGGGTTGTTAAGGAGAAATTGGTAAAGGGCCACAAAAAATCTTTACATTGTGTAATGATAAAATAAACTATTTATAATTGTGTAATGATAAATGAAATTATTTTCCTTTTTACAAAGAGATCTTCCATTCAATCTCTATATATGCATGAATCATAATATATATGAAAGCATGATAACGTAGAAAAACCCGATTTAGGAACAAGCAACATGGTGATCTGCCAGTGTCTTTTTTCTCAACAGCCGTGTCTGCCAGGCCTACTTTTCTCAGGTAGAAATTTATTATAATAACCGACTTGTCTCTCGCCTAACCTGGTTACGTTGCTATCAAAATCTATTGAAATATAAAGTATAAGTACGTTATTGCTCTCAAACATAGAACCCTGTTTAAGTCCTTCAATACGTTAGTTGGCATGTGGTGAAGAAGAGCAATGAAACTTGTATACTAGGAAAGAAGAAGAGTGTTTCAATAAAAATGCAACATCAATGGGTACTTTAAAAAAATCACTAAGTTATCTTCTTTCCAGTTAATTTAATCATTCTAGCTGATCCATAAAGATAGCTTTTTGTTAAACTTTCTGATAGTCCTGAGAAACCTGTTTAGTTTTTATTTCTCTCAAGATCTCCTTTGGTAGTAGCAAACTTTTCCCAATGTGCCAGAAAAAATTAAAAATAAATCATCGTTATAGTAAATGTTTTCTTATATTTTAAAATAAAATCATTTTATTTGCTACATCTATATGGTGGAATCTAATATAAGATGTTACTTGATTTAACAAAGAATTTGTACCTAGCTGTTTTTCATTTAATACAGCAATATTTCATGGTATTCAAGAAACATCATGGCATTCATATACTTTCTTATCTGAATAAGAAAAGAAACACAGCTGGTTTATTGGCTTGGTTCCCTTAATTAGTTTGCTTTGATAACTAACTTTTCAAATACCTTAAGATCTCATTATCTCCTAAGTGACCATTCCTTTCTCCCTTTTGCTCTCCAAAAGAAAGAGTAATATCTTCTAGATAGTAACCAGTGAAGCTAAAAGTCCTGTCACATTAACTCTCGATCACAGTCAGGATACACAGGTACTATCATATTTCGTTGGTTTGAGATTCTTAGATTTTATGTTTTGTTAGATTCTGCTGCCATCAGAAATAATTATAAAAAGTAAATTTCCCTCAAAAACAGTTGTTTCTGTTAATTCTTCTATAGTAGAATATTTCTACCAAAAAGCAACTTTTAATTTAGGACCAGAACTTCCATTTAAAGTAGCCTCAGCCAAGCACCCATATATTTGGTTGCTCAGATGTAATCACCTGCAAATGTGTTTCTATTAATTTCCCTCACCTGTCACCTTATAAACAGATACCTAATAAATATTTTAAAAATAATGATTAGAAGGCACTCAATAAATATACATTCTCTTTCCTGACTCTTCTACCCCAACCACTTGCATAAATTTTGTGCAACATAGAAAACATTACAGATCCAATAACAATGTATTTTTCCCTCTTCCTCTTTCTCTGCCACCTTTTCTCCTCCCACCTCCAGAAAAATTTACAAACAAAAACAGTATTTTGATACTTGTCTTCTAACCTTATTAAATTCTTCACCCATTAGGGGGTATCAAACATACTATCAATTTGATTGTTTATTAAAGTAAAGAGCTCTGCATATAAACGGTAGCATAGTATAACTGTACTCTATATGCTTTTCAGAGAGTATAATATTTAACTCACAATACCCAATATAAATCAGATTCTCAACTGAGGAAATATTGTTGACTGAAGATTTCCTGAAGGTTTTAAAATCTTACATATTCAGGGTAAGTGTAATCTAAAACATCCCTCTGAATTCAACCACTGATCTGAGAGCAGTTTACATGGAACACATTGGGTTAATTGCATCAAATAATTGATTTTACCGAATCATATTTGGTGGAGTCCCACGGCCTATGTTGAGGGAACTCATAAGCAATAATCTATGGTGTTACTCACTGTATTTACGTCACAATATTTCCGAGTATGGTGTTTATTGCATTGTAATGTTTTCTTTATGTTCACTTCTGGGAAATTTTTCCTACTAGTCTTAATTATTAGGAATTATCAATATTCTCATGAACAACTATTTTTATTTAATGAACTTTGAGATCATATTTTCCCCTCTACATTGGCTCAAAAGAAGTCATTAGAAAAACTTGCGTCTTACTCTTACAACTTCTTGGTAAACATGTTCTTGTTGCCTGCATGGTTTTGTTCTCTGCCCGTATTCCTGCTTTGTTTATGTGGCATTATTTTTATCTTCATATTAACTTTATTATTTTTTAATCAAAAACTTCACATTGTCTTAAATATATTACTAGGTCATTTAACAATTACGGACAATGTAAAATTTTTATCACCCTTTTCATATATTTTTGTTGTTCTTAAAATATATCCATATAAAAATATTAGCATGATGTCTGCACATAGTAACACTCATAAATATATGAGGTGATATTATTCTTATTGTTGTTGTTGTGATGGTTTCAATTGTTAATTCAAAACTTAAAATCCATTATTGAGAATCCATAGTAGGACAAATTATGAACTTCTTTCCAACATCAATCTTACTTCCCCACCACCATCGAAGAAAATACATCCTCTTTTATACTTCCTAAAAATCTCCTTTTTACTTATCTTTTCAGAGTGCATGTAGTGTTATTGGTTACAATCATTATTAATCTGATTATTTTCTTTCAAATTGTGTGTTCTGTAATCCTGGCAGAAAGGCAATCATAAACCCTTAGTTGATGTTTGCTGAATGGCAAGTGTAGGTAACTACAATAAATTGAAAAGCCAAATTTCATGTATCTTTGACATCCTCAGGACACAGAGTTATTATAATTACATAAAAGAAATAATTAAAAGTATAATCAATCAAAAAGGGCAAACGGTTTATAACCCTGATTTTGATAGAATACTAAATTGAACTGCTGGTGGATGTAAGAATTTCAAATCTTCTAAATTTGTTAAGTTTAATAATGTTACAAAAGTTAATTTGAGATATGGTGGGAACAAATGATGACTAATTAAGTGGACTCCAAAATAAAAAATTCCAAGTATGGAATAATAGGAAAAGAAAGAGATTAAAGAAGTCATATGAGTATATTTTCACATCTCCAGAGAGACCTACCTGTACCACTAAAGGATGTCCAGGCCCACAAGTAAACATATAGATTT